AAGGGAGGTAATTCAATGGGTCTTCAATGCAGCGAGAAACTCCCGCACCTGGAGGCGTCCTTCAGCTGACCCTAAACAAATATGTATACTAGTTCAGTGATAATGGACATCATACTAAACTCCAAATTATACACAGGAAACTAAAATTAAAAATGATACAAGACTAACAAAGGCCAGAGGCTCCTGACTTGGGACAGGCGCAAAAATGCTGTGGGGTTAAACATGTTTTTTGAGATCTCAAATGTCCATTAACCAGGACACCCTTGTTTTTTCTCACTTTTTTGCCCCTAATTCCTAAACGGTTTGAGCCATAACACCCCAAAGCCAATTCTAACCATCCCTTTGTGGTATAATTTCAAAGAGATCCATACACCGTTCCATAAGTTATTGTCTCGAAACTAGAAAAATGCTTATTTGGGCCCCTTTTTCAGTCAGGGGACTTATTGAAATAAGTGATTTTAAATCACTTATTTAAGTAGCAAATTCGAAGTTTTGTCACAAATTGTGATTTTGTAGTTTTACCAAAATTTTAAACACATAGGTTTAGATAATATTTTTCATTAGTAAAATTGAAAAAAATGAACTTTTTGCTTCTTTTAAGCAGCAAGGTTTATGCCTTTGATGCAATCATTTAGCTGCAAATTCTATTTTAGTTGAAAAAATGCTATAAAAATGGCTTTACATAATGAACTAATACTTTCTTAACAGATTTTTCCCAGCAGTGGGAGTATTTTTCCTGTAAAATTCAAGGTTTCATCTTATAGATTATGTAATAAAATGCCACTGTTCGCGATCAAAATTTCACTGTTCGGGGGTGTTGAAATTAGTGGGGGTTATTAAAATAATACTTAAAGAAGTGATTTTTTGGAAGGAAATTGAGGTGTGATACTTAAACAAGTGATTTTTATGTCATTATCCTAGATTTAGTACAAGGTCATCACCTGACATGACCCGGTCATCCTATCAACACAGATGTTGGTTCTGATAATTTTAGCAACATAATTAGTCCCTGGATCATTAGTATTCTATATTTAAAGCTACAATAAAATTAAATCACTTAGTCTAGTGATTAATTTGTACTACTTAAATAGGTGATTATTAAAGAAAGACAACTCTTACTTCCAACCTTTATGGACATAATGTTACTTGAATCAGTGATTTAGAAAATCACTCATTTAAGTAAGTCCCCTGACTGTTTTTGGTCCCTAATTCGTAAACTGTTGGGACCATAACCCCCAAAATCAATCCCAACCCCCCTTTTGTGGTTATAAACCTTGTGTTTAAATTTCATAGATTTCTTTTAATTAATACAAAAGTTATTGTTCGGAAACCAAATGTCTTTCGACGACGCAGTACCAATATACGAAATTTGGCGGTCGTATAAAAATTACTCATAGAATTTTTTTTTTTTGGCGTGAACCCTTCACGCTCATATATTGGAAGTGTCTATAGGTACTTCGATAAGCATGAAGAAAATTAAGAAAACGATATTTCTTTTATAAATATTTCGTCTTAGGTCATAAACACAGTGGTCAGAAAGAAGAAAGATAATCAAATAAATGAAAAATGTGTCCCCATGGACACAGATGATGCCCCCGCTTGCATACAACATTATGAAGGGACATAACTCAAGAACAATAAAAGAGACGCTACCCAAATTTGTACTTGATTTTAGTTTTGTGGTAATAAGTATTGTGTATAGGTTTCATGTTTGGTTGGGGCAAACTAAAATTACAGAACAGAACCTAAAAATTTTGCAATTTTTCGATTTATAAAGGGGCATAACTCAATAATGGTTAAAGTGACACTACCCAAATTCAACTTGATCTGTGTTTTATCAGTGAAAGGCAAAATTAAACATTGCATTGTATAAAGCATTGATTGTTGTTGATTCAACTATCATGGACAAAGGAAGAAAACTCCAATTTTAAAAATTACTTGAACAATGACATCATTGATATTTTTAGAAAAAAAATGAAAAAGCTAAATTTTTCCATTTGTAAAGGGGCATAACTCTAGAACAGTAAAAGTGACGCCACCAAAATTCAAACTTGATCTGTGTATTGTGGTAATAAGCATTGTGTATCATTTGGTTGCGGCAAACTTAAGTTAGAGAACGGCAACCAATTTTGGGACAGACGGACAAGGGTAAAACTTAATGCCCCCTCCGCTTCGGCAGGGGCATAACAAAAGGATTTTTCTGTCAAAAATATCTAAATTTCATTTAATAATAGATACTACCAGACCAAGAAAATATTCATTATGAAGTTTCAACTGAGACTGAATTTATTCTTAATAGAATATAATTAAAAATGTTATATAAACGTGCATTATGTCTCACAGGTTTGAACAGTCGTTACAATTATGAAAATTATATGCAACGTATGAGCACCAATGAGCATGGATGCGTTCCCAAAGTTAGCTAAATATCTAAATTTTAAACGGTAGTGAATGAACAAATACTTGGATGGTTTTAACTCACAAGGATTTGAAATCCTTGCATCCCACAAAAAAACGTAATTAATATTTTACAATAATCATAACAAAATTTAATTACTATGTTAATTATTTTATACTGTTTTAGTATGGATTTATAAGTCTTTGCTTATATTTTGTATAACAATATATTCATATAGTGGAATGTTAGACTTTAAGAAGAGATTAATTTGATAAATGAAATGTCCATCCGTAATAACTTTACATTTGTGTTTAATGATATTATATTCTAAATTATCGGAAAAAATTCATTAACAGGAATTAATGTATGTTAACTATAAAATTTCAATTATTTTTTATTTGTTTGTTTTAATAGTTCAACCCTATAGGATCTAAATCTTTGCACTATGGTACGATTTTGAAAACTGTATTCATTGTGTTGACCAGCTATCCTACACGTCTTGGTTCATTCAAACTATATATCACCCTGTTCACACAAATTCCGGATTAAATGGCAATGAATCCGGAGTCAAAACACTTGAGGTAGGTAGTTTGATATCCGAATTCAACTATTAGATTAATATATGTGATGACGGAAATGCGTATTCTTATCCAGAGTATCAGTGCGTATGCTTTCTATTTACTACATTGTATTTCTTGCGCAAAAAAATACCACATGCATGCATAAATATTATTTTCACTCACGAATGTGAATTTTCGCTTTTCTTATCTAAATTCAGGACACAGCAGTAAGAGTTTGACATGTGACTTTCAACCATGGTCATCATCACTTACGGAATTCTGACCTCTAGCTGTTTCTCTTTTCTTTTCTTTATTGAGTCACTGTCCTATTATAAACTTTGACCTTTTTGAAATGCTAAGGATTTTCTACCCAAAGAATAGATTACTTTAGATGTGTTCGGCAAAACCTTTGTTTCGAAACTTTGGGTCCTGAATTTCTTTCACCTTCGTACTTTATTTGGCCTTTTTAACTTTTTTTATTCGAGCGTCACTGATGATTCTTTGTAGTCTTAACTCGCGCATGGCGTTCAGCATTTTAATCCTGGTATCTTTTTTATATCTACATATCTTTTTTATGTAAATTGGTTCTTTTGAGAGTGTGTTCAGGTATTCATAAAATTTCTGAAAATAAGATATTATTCAAAACCAAGTTTTCCTGTAGAATATTTTGACTGATTTAAGTAAAACAGGAAATCCTCAAAATTTAAGATGTTTTAGGAGACCAAAATAAGTCTCTATATAAGAGGTCCCAATGAAGCTGGTGTGTTACTCTCAAGAAAAATACACGAAACCTTATACATGTAAGTTGCATGCCACAGGGTTTCACTTCACATGGAAATTGGACTTTAAATTTATCTATACAACATCTACCATGAGTACAGACAGCTTCAATAACGAGTTAAGAATAATTGAAGCCATCCAGGAAACAAAATATGAAGGTATGATAGATAAAATAAATGCATTAAGATTATAAAGCAAACTGAGTGCTTAAATTTATATTGCGATTGGTTTGTGCAATTTGCATTAGACATCCGGTTTGCAGAAACTGGGATTTGCAATAGGATTATGAAATAAAAATGATGTACACTCCCAAGTAATAAATAAAATAGTCGAGCCTTAAAATGTAAATTCAAATAGTAGCTGTATATATACACTTTTCTATTCACAACTATCCAACATTGCTTTCAACTGACTTGTGCAATAATCTACAGAATTACATATTTTAAATAAAGGTGTTTTAACATCATCATTATCTTATTCCTTTCACAGTCAATCATTTAAATTAAAAAACAAACAAAAATTCAGCAACATTTTTTTGGTGACCAGTCAGCGGTCTTGGGTTCACGTATTGCTTGTCTTTTTTTAAAGAAAGCAACTTGTTTATTGTGTATTCTAACTGCTTTATTAAATGGGCTGATTTTTAACAATGTACAAAATCTTTATAATTAACCTTCAAAATTCTACAGCAAGCTTAGCAATAAAATATATATCCACAAAAACCCCCAATAACAATTCTCCCCATACCTCATCATGCTCATATAAGGAAAGAAAAAGGTAAAAAATTAATATTAGGTGCCGAATTGAATAACCAATTGCAGAAATGACTTTAAATAGGTGATGATTTGACCAGGTGCTGATCATACACCATATTGCTATTTGTCTGACATTACGGGACATCACAAAGATTCCCCTAAAATTTTGACGTCACAATAGAAAATGTCCGACGCAACAATGGAAAAGTGATTGTTGTATGACATCAATAGTTCAAGTGTCACAGATTTTTCAGGTCAAGCGTCGCATATTCCAAAATAGCGAAAAGGTCTATTTGACTTTTTCTATATTTGCCAAATTGACCGGGTGGAGGTGCTAATTTGACTTGTATCCTTAGACTAGGGGTCCCTGTAATTAAGAGTTAGGGCCTATTTGAGGTTAGAGCTAGATTTTGGGGTATGGGCTAGTTTTAGGGTTAGGTATAAGTCAGGCTTAAGTTAAGTTTATGGTTAGTTTGGCCCTTATAATTTTCTCTGAATTCTGAAAATTACCTATAAATTTGTACTGCTATAATTCTCAATAAAACAACTATGGTCATAAAGCTGTTGAAAGTAAGTTTTGTTAAAACTATGGATTAGAAATTCGGTGTTAAAGTTGAATAAACGATTAGTCTGCACAGGGGAAATCATCAGAAGTCTGTCATCTTTGTTTTGAAATTTGTACCGACAGTTTCGGATATTTTAAAATGAGACCAATGTGTATTAAAATATTTCTTAATAACTAGCAGATTATATTTAGTATTCAAATATCCAAGATACCAATAATTTACAAAATAATGAAAAATCCCGTTACAGTTTTTTGCGAAAATAATTGCGCCGGTAAAGGGAAGTTACTCACTGGTAAAACGAGCCAAACACACACAAACGAAAATTTAAAATATGACGCTTTCATCAAGTTCTGGAATTCCACCAAAAACTTGGCAACCCCCAAACGTAACATTTGACACAACGTATGCAACTAATGTTTATTTTACAAGAAACCTAAAAAAGATCACAAATATAAAATTGAGAATGGAAAATTATGGGGAATGTGTCAAAGAGACAACAACCCGACCACAGAACAGACAACAGCAGAAGGCCACCAACAGGTCTTCAATGCAGCGAGAAATTCCCGCACCCGGAGGCGTCCTTCAGCTGGCCCCTAAACAAATATATATACTAGTTCAGTGATAATGATGTTTACATAGTGACTAGTCATGCTAGTGTAAAGAAATGATGACAAAAAATAATTTAAAAAATCATCAAAAAGTACTCAGGACAAAAGTGGAAATATACTACGTTATTTACTTCTTGTTTCAAACCCGAACAACATATAGCCTGGTTTCCAAAAATTATTATGAGACGGATACTACCCAGTCAGGGGACTTGTTGAAATAAGTGATTTTTAAATCACTTATTTAAGTAGCAAATTCGAAGTTTTGTCACAAATTGTGATTTTGTAGTTTTACCAAAATTTTAAAAACATAGGTTTAGATAATATCTTTTTATTAGTAAAATTGAAAAAAATGAACTTTTTGCTTCATTTAAGCAGCAAGGTTTATGCCTTTGATGCAATCATTTAGCTGCAAATTCTATTTTAGTTGAAAAAATGCTATAAAAATGGCTTTACATAATGAACTGATACTTTCTTAACAGATTTTTCCTAGCAGTGGGAGTATTTTTCCTGTAAAATTCAAGGTTTCATCTTATAGATTATGTAATAAAATTCTACTGTTCGCGATCAAAATTTCACTGTTCGGGGGTGTTGAAATTAGTGGGGGTTATTAAAATAATGATACTTAAAGAAGTGATTTTTTGGAAGGAAATTGAGGTATGATACTTAAACAAGTGATTTTTATGTCATTATCCTAGATTTAGTACAAGGTCATCACCTGACATGACCCAGTCATCCTATCATCACAGATGTTGGTTCTGATAATTTTAGCAACATAATTAGTCCCTGGATCATTAGTATTCTATATTTTAAGCTACAATAAAATTAAATCACTTAGTCTAGTGATTAATTTGTACTACTTAAATAGGTGATTATTCAAGAAAGACAACTCTTACTTCCAACCTTTATGGACATAATGTTACTGAAATCAGTGATTTAGAAAATCACTCATTTAAGTAAGTCCCCTGACTGCTACCTGTGAAACTGGATAAAGTCCTTATAAGTAGCCCAGAGGGGGATTTAGGGGGAGGGGATATGGAGCTACAAATATAGTTAATGCATAGACTTTTAACCGGTAAGTCTTTTCACCCACTGAACACCACTGCACACTGCTGAACATCACTGAACACATTAAAATACCATCTAACACATCTAAATATATTGTTTTCATCTTTATTTATATATTTTACTTACATTCTGAACGAGGATGAATATTTTTATACATGTACATACCCGGTACCCGTATATACATCCAAATTAATAAGAAATGATTATCAGAGAACCAAAAAAGAACAGTCTTCTAGTCTTACAAGGGCTGTTGTAAGAACAGTACACTTTTAGTCTAACAGTAACAACATGTTTTACATATAATTATTGTGGTAATCTCACATTAAATAAAATATTTTTACTGTAACTGGAGAGCATGACTCTACATACAAAATCACTTTGACTCCTCTGTGACTTGAAACCGGACTCCTGTGTTACAAGGCAGTGCTCTAACAGACTGAGCTAAAGAAGTACTTTCCTAGCTCAACCGCTTACGGCTGGCTAATCATCTACACACATACTAAGGGAATACACAATGTAAATCAGAAAATCATACTTTGTTTAATCCAGAAAAAGTTTTTTTTTTTGTTTTGATTCTCAAACATGTCAAATATTATGCACATAAAAGTATGAAAACAATGATAATGGATTATATTTTATGTAATATTATATATTTTATTGTTTTATTGTGAAATGTCACTGTTTTCCTGTAGGGTTTGAGGTCTTTTTGGGTGTTCGGTGGTGGGAAGACCGACCCACTTTTTACAATTTTCACTCCTAACACGGGGCTTGTTGCCCCCCACCCCCTTTTTCAAAATCCTAGATCTGCATCTGTAGCCTTTTAATATAGCATAACTAATTTTGTTTAATTAATAATAATAATAATTCTTTATTTAAAGAGGGTTACACAGTTAACTACAAAACTAATCTTCCCTGAGGCCCTCATGAAATACATTGAAATATAACAAACAAAGAATTACAAAATAATCAAACAAACACACACATAAGAAAAAAAAATAAGAAATTGTTATGAACTATACAATTTTCAATTCAAATAATTCATGCTTGAATGGTTTATTTGACCAGATACATATGAATCTCTGTTGTGACACACCTTCTCTTTTTGATACAAAAAATGAGATAAGTGCAGATTAAGTTGTTGTTTATATTATTAAGTGGCTTAGAGCGCATTTGTTTCTAACCTAAACGATGTAAACTATTACGTGCGTAGTCGTTTAATCCATTTGTTTCTTACATTTTTTGGTCAACGTTGACATCGTTCACATAGACGATGTACACGCAAAATAGTCGCGTAGTCGTTGATCGTTTATCGTTGAGACGTATAAACGATACATTTGTTTCTGCATCTGTCGTTTAAATAATTACGAGCATGTGTTGTTTCTGCAAACTCCTGTTCATTCATTTTCCTCACTTTTACCTGTTTGTTTACAGTGCATGTATGTAATCTATTTTTGTCTTACTACGCAGGGTCGATAAAGGTCATTAAACGATGTATTTGTTTCTAGCAGCTTAACGTTTACTAAACGATAGTCATCCATGACAAAATTTTGGGTTTGAAACAAATGCACTCTTAGTTAATAGAGTAAGGTATCTGAATCTTGTAGTCACATTTTTTAGCTTTTAGCCATGTTTCCAGAAGATAGATGATTTTTTTTCCATTTTCAGTGCAGGGTCAATAACATTTGAACTTTATTGGAAACATGCACCTAACACATGTAGAAACTTTGCAGAGTTAGCCAGAAGAGGATATTACAATGGTGTAAAGTTTCATCGAATCATCAGAGATTTTATGATTCAAGGAGGAGATCCTACAGGAACAGGTTTGTTTTAGTATCCGAATTAAGTTTCACATTAATTTTTTATGAGAAGAAAATACTGTAAATTCAGAAATTATTGCATGCATTTATTATTGCGATTTTTGAAAAATGGACAAAAATACAAGATTATCTGAAAATCTGCATACAGCTATATGTATCAATTATCAGCATGCGAGTTCTTATAATTGCGATAGACACTCAGTCGCTATATTCGCATTAATAAAAACATCGCAATAATTTCTGAATTGACAGCATTTACAGCATTGTACAGTAGTAAGTGAAGTCTAAGATACTGTTTTTTAATAATGAGTGTGAGGATATTTATTTTGAATTTAAATTATTTGTTAACTATAATTTTAATAATTCTATTTATTTCTCAGCTTAAATGGTCTTCTAATTCATTTATTAATTATCTTATAAATGTACTAAAAAACATAATTTTCTTTATGATTAATCTTCAAATGTGTCAACAAACAATAAAAATGCATTCTGATAGTTATACTAACAAATTGATTTAATTCTGATATGAATTAAGGAAACTCATTTTGATGCACAATAAAAACATGGTTTGACCATTTAATTTAAATCAGTATTTCAAATCTTAAAGTGTTTTCTTAACCTTTAAAATTTTTTGTACCTAAACTTCAATACATTGTGGTTAATTCACGTTTAATTTTTCCTTAAGGATGTACTTAGGTCAGGTTTAGGAATTTGTGTCAGATGTTTGGACTCCTCGGTTTTTTCCCTACGATACAGGGTAAAATATTTTGCCCCATAACACTAATTTTTCTTTTCATATAAGACTTCAATAGCTCATAAAAGGTCATTTACCAAAATTTAAGCAGATTCTAGATTTCTTTTCTTTCGATTTGAGACCCAAATAATACCAATGCAAATATAAGGTAAAAGTCCGTTTCAGCCTTTTACCGCCATTTAAAAAAAAATAAATATCTCGAAAAGGAGCTGCATAACCTATCAATATTTTTAGATTATTTTGTTCCTTAACTAATGCTCTTCCAACTTATAGTATCAATTTTAAATTCTAGATTTTTTTAATTTCACATAAGTACAACCTTAAGGGAACCTAATAAAATTTGAATTAACTGGAATTTCAAATCAGCCAATTTAGACTCATCATGTTAGAAATGCATTGAACAAACAGGGATTTTACCGGTTCTGAATGAATTCTTCAGAGTTTTTCCACACAACATTTAGGTTCTACTGAATGATGCAGAAAAATTAATTTATAATGTTGGGAAAAGGAAACAATGTCTCACATGATTTATTCCATCTGCAGTGCAAATGTAGGCAGTTACTCAAACAAAATTCAAATATTTGTCTACTGTTTCATTTCTTGTATTATTCAAATTTTCATTTCAATAACAAGAATACAAGATTGCAACATCATAATAAATAAAATGCATAGCAAAGGAATGTTGAATGTTCAGCATCACATTAACAGTAGCCTCCCCTTAATGTGTAAAGTTTCATGCAGATATTTTTTTTATAGTTGACCTTGATGGGAGAAAACAGGTGAGACATGTGCTTTTGTATAATAAAAACATTCTTGATCATATCAGCTTGTCTTCATTAATTGTGTTGTTATTAAAAGTGCTATTCTTATTCAAGTTAATAGAAAGAAGTTTGGGAATATAGGGGTAACACTTACTCACTGCTTTTGTCTTGAAATAAACCATTTTAATAAAAGTAGCAAAATATGAAACTATTGAAAACATGGTTGAAACTGTAAAGAAATGTTTAGTATATTCAGTAAACATGTCTTTAGAAAAAAGTGAACTGGTATCAATGTTCAAGTAACTGAGTCTTTGGAAGAATATTTAGATTAATTGTCAGGCATTATTGAACTCATCTCAATCTCTATCTCAAGGATACATGGAAGGGAGAGCAGGTAATTAACTACATTTACATTTCAGATTTTTTTCAAGTTTAAAACAGCAAAATAATGGGAAATTATGTTTCCACTTTGAATGCAGAATTAAATATTATTTTATTTACAGGTAGAGGAGGAGCTTCTATTTATGGAAAGGAATTTGGTGATGAAATCACAAATGAATTAAAACATACAGGTAATGAGTTGTAACGAATATGACTAATCAGATGGCTTTTCCATTAATTTGTGTAAAGTTACATCTTTATACAGTTTTAAGAGCATTTTCTGGATCAATAAGTTTAAAAGCCCTTAAAGACCAGTTGAATCAAAATAAACACTAAATTTCCTATACAGTAATTTTTTTCTAACTACTTTTGTCTCGCCTGCGACATAAGCCCTAGTATGCAAGACATAGGGATAACTATCTGGTGGCAGTGCAAACTGTTTGAATTAATCTTTATATTTCAGAAGGTAGAAGACCTGGATGCTTTATACCATGTATGCAGACACCTTATGCTACAAAATTTCCATTGTCATATGTCCATTGGCTTTGACCTCATTTTCATGGTGAAGCGACTGCTTAAACATTTTTTTATATACCGCGGTTGTATATTGGTATGACGTCGGCATCGTCGTCGTATGAAGACAGATTGGTTTTCACACAATAAATTTAGTTTAAGTGAATGGATCTCTATGAAATTTTACCATAAGGTTCAATACCACAAAAGAAAGGTTGGGATTGATTTTGGGGGTTATGGTACCAACAGTTAAGGAATTAGGGGCCAAAAAGGGGCCAAAAATAAGCATTTTTCTAGTTTCCAAACAATAACTTGTGGAACTGTGTATGGATCTCTCTGAAATTATACCACAAGTTATCATACCACAAAGGGATGGTTAGGATTTGCTTAGGGGGGGGGGGGGGGGTTATGGCTCAAACCGTTTAGGAATTAGGGGCAAAAAAGGGGGAAAAACAAGGGTGTCCTGGTTAATGGACAAATACTTTAGTACAACACATAATTTAAAGCAATGTAAGGGAGGTATTTCAAATACATCATTTGAATTACCTCCCTTACACTGCTTTTAAATAAAGTATAAAGTAATGGTTAATGAACAATTAAGACAATTTAAAAGCAGTGTAAGGGAGGTAATCCAAATACAATGTTTTGATTACCTCCCTTACGTTGCTTTAAGATTATGTTTAAAGAAATGCATATTTATAAAGGAAGACCAGTAATAATATCTGCAAATATTGCATCTTTTTTTTTTTACCAAAAAATCCATATGAATGATTTGACACCATATTTTAAATTCTATTATAAAATAGATTAAGTTAGTACTATGGTAAATTTAAATGGGTAATTATGGTTGCAATTTCCATTGGAAATTTGAATTAAGATTATGACCATATCTTGAGGGAAAGAATTTTTTTGGGGGAAAAAGGAGGGGTGGGGGGTCAAAAAGAAATTGTGGGGAGTCAATTTTTTTCTCATTTCAGATTTCCGAAATTAAAAAGAAAAATTCTTCAAATGTTATTATTTTGTGGGGTGGGGGGGTTAATACACAACAGCATAGTGTATTGCACTAAAGCAAAAAAAAAAGGTGGGGGGGGGTAATTTTTTTTTTTTTCTGTGGGGGGAGGGGGGTCAATTCACAACAGCAAAGTGTATTGCACAAAAGCAAAAAATTGAATATAAATTCAAATCATATAACCAATTCTAAGTTCTTTGAATACAGTTATTCTGTGTCAGAAACCTTTTTTTGTGTCAAATATTTAATTACAATCCAAATTCAGACCTGTATCAAGCGCGAATATTGCGTCCATTTTTGCCCCAACTGTTAAGGGTTGAACCTCTGCGGTCGTATCCAGCTGCGCTCGGCGAAGCAATTTATTTTGGTTTATTTTGTCATGAGAATTTCTCACTTATGAGTAATAGGATAACTACATTTGGTATATGGGTTCCTTGCAGCGTCTTCATAATAGAAAAACAAGGGATATGGGGTATCCATACATCAAGATCAAGATTAAAGTTACTTGATTAGGTCTGTTTCTCAGATACTCTAAGCAGTAGGTCAACTATATGTGGTGTATGGAATGATTGTAAGGTTAACATGTAAGTCTGGCAGGTTTCATCTGACCTTGACCTCATTTTCATGGTCCATTGGTCAATGTTAAGTTTTTGTGTTATTTGTCTGTTTTGTTTTAAGTTCAATAAACAAGAGGTCAACTATATTTGGTGTATGGAATGATTGTAAGGAGTACATGTCTGTCTAGCAGGTATCATCTGACCTAAACCTCATTTTCATAGTTCATTGGCCAATTTTAAGTTTTTGGGTTTTGGTCTGGTTTTCAAACTTTAGCAATATGTCAGCTATATTTGGTTTATGGAATAATTGTAAGATGTACACTTCTGGCAGGTATCATCTGACCTTGACCTCATTTTCATGGTTCATTGGTCAACATTAAAAATTTTTGTTTTGGTCTGTTTTTCAATTACCATAAGCAATAGGTCAACTATATTTGGTGTATGAAATAATTGTTAGGTGTGCATGTTTGTCTGACAGGATTTATCTAACCTTGACCTCATTTTCATGGATCTTTAAAAATGTAAAGTTTATGTGATATTTGTAATTTTGTACAATGTAATAAAACTTTTATCTTTAAGACTTACAACAAAAAATCAATGGTCAGTAAAGCAGGCGAGACATTTCTGTGTGTGCACTTTTGTTATATATATTTTTCTATTTTTAGATAACCATGTAGGTTATTAAGGATATTAAGAGAAACTGAAGACGGCCAGTGGCTGAAACATCTAAAAAATTGCTTAATTACTACTATGATGTAAAATATGTTCCCTATTGGAATTTCTACACAAGAATTTTAATTTTATTCAACTTTCATGTTAAGACTTAAATGTAAAATAATTTAATAAACTGATTTGATAAAAAAACATATGTTATTTACTTTCTAGAAAGATATGGTTATAAATTTCATTTTTTTATAGATTTTTTCAGGGAAAATAATTCTTTCACAAATTTTTGTTAATGGAAAGTAAAATTTGTTGTAGAAGAGATTATTTAGATCAAACTTTCAGAAAATAAAAATGAAATTGTGGATAACTTTTATTGTTCAGTTGAAATTAAAAAAAAAACAAACTTTAAATTTACTCCCCCTGATTTGAACATTTATGTGCAATATTATCTCCACTGGCAGACAGGTTCTTTGATTCATGAATAAGTCTATAATTCTGTAGTTATTCCAATATATATCTTAAGAATAAATAAATATTTTTTCAAATTCTCACTAATGTTTTGTTTATTGTTTTGTTTAAATAGCAATATTTCCACAAATGAATTGAATTACAAAATTTGAATAAATTCTAGAAGGTGGTTTTGTCTTTCTGGTAACAAGACAGAACTTCTATATTACTTTTCTGATGGCGACTGCATTTACGGAACAATAGTGAAATCGATTTGTATCTAAACATCGTCTCTAATTCTTAGGAAAATATATATCAGTTAACTGTATCAAGGTTGTTTGTCATATGTTATATGCACTTTACTTCATCTTCACATTCATATTATCAGGACAGTTTTTTTTGGTGAGAGGATGCATTAGCAGCAGTTCATATGTGAATACATTATACATTTTTCTGTGAAAAGAATATGTGCATTTGAAGGTGTCAATCGACCTTGACTTTAGTTTCAGAAATCATTGAATATCTATATTTTAATGGAAGTAATTTTTAAGTATCAGTTTGCTCATGCAAAGTTGAAAATTCACAAGTCTACAAGTCATCTCAAAATAAAATTCTAATAAACAAAAGCCAATGAAATTGTATAGATAAATTGAAATGAAGATTACATGGAGCTTAAGTAAATATTCTGAAAATAAATAGTATGTTCTTCATAATGGACCTTGTAACAACTAGGTACCAGTTAAGACCTTTCGATTATTATATATGTAAGCATGCTCACTAGGTGATAGAAATGACAAACTGCAAAGTTTTCATTCAAAAATTTTTTGGGAAAATGTAAGTTTTAGTCATCAATAGCATTTTCTGAACATGCCTGCATATTATAATATACTTATCAGTAGCAAAGATAGGCTTCTGCATCTGATTCAATGAATACCATAAATTGGGAAATTTTGGCGTCAGGATACTTTGGCGGTTTCACTCGAAAGGCATGTGTTTTATTTTGGTAAATTTAAATGGGTAATTATGGTTGCAAATTCCATTGGAAATTTGAATTGAGATTATGACCATATCTTGAGGGAAAGAATTTTTTGGGGGGAAAAAGGAGGGGTGGGGGGTTAAAAAGAAATTGTGGGGAGTAATTTTGGTGCTTCGTCCAACTGATGTGTTTAATTTTGGAACAATATTAGTGTGTGAGCTCATTCATATTTGCCCTTATTTACCTGTTTACATTTATTGACCTACACAGACTAGAAACACGACAAAGTTAATAAACTGAAGGAATCGGATACGAATGCAATTGCAAATAATTCTGTATCTCAGGATTGAAAGCTAAAAGAATGATTTTAAATAGATTATTTATTTTTTACAAAAATCATATGAAATAAATTTTAATCATTATCTCTATTGCAGTACATGTTAATGATTGACAATCAAGGATTTAAATTTTAATCCTTACTCCTCTGGCAGTATATGTTAATTAATAGAAGATAAAGGATCGGTGTCATCCTGGTTTGCCCACATTTAATTGCAGGTTTATAAAAACATAGGGTGTTTTGTTGTTTTAACAATTATAGTTTATTTCTTAATTATAGTCATATTTTTATGCCCCCGCCGTAGCGGAGGGGGCATTAAGTTTTACCCTTGTCCATCTGTACGTCCGTCTGTACGTCCCAAAATTGGTTTCTGTTCTCTAACTTGAGTTTGCCTCAACCAAATGTTATAAAACTTATACACAATGCTTATTACCACAAAACACAGATCAAGTTTGAATATTGGTGGCGTCACTTTAACCGTTCTAGAGTTATGCCCCTTTAAAAATTGCAAAATTTTTAGTTTCCGTTCTCTAACTTGAGTTTGCCTCAACCAAATGTTATGAAACTTATACACAATGCTTATTACCACAAAACACAAATCAAGTCACTTTAACCGTTCTAGAGTTATGCCCCTTTATGAATGGAAAAATTGCAAAATTTTTATTTTCTTTTAAATATCAAGTAATTTTTAAAATTGGAGTTATCTTCCTTTGTCCATGAGTATAGTTGAATCAACTACAATCAATGCTTTATACAATGCAATGTTTAATTTTGACTTCCACTGATAAAACACAGATCAAGTTGAATTTGGGTAGTGTCACTTTAACCATTATTGAGTTATACCCCTTTATAAATCGAAGGATTGCAAAATTTTTAGTTTCCATTCTGTAACTTAAGTTTGCCCCAACCAAACATTATGAAACCTATACACAATATTCATTACCACAAAACTAAGATCAAGTACAAATTTTTTATTTCCGTTTTCTAACTTAAGTTTGCCTCAACAAAATGTTATCCACAATGCTTATTACTACATAATACAGATTAAGTACGAAATTTGGTGGCGACACTTTTACCATTCTTGAGTTATGTCCCTTTATAAACATAAAAATTGCTGAATTTTTTAGTTTGTCTCAACCAAATGTTATAAAACTTATACACAACCGTTCTAGAGTTATGCGTGTTTACAAATAGAAAAATTGCTGAATTTTTAGTTTCTGTTCTCTACTTAAGTTATCCTCAAACAAATGTTATGAGACTTAAACACAATGCTTATTACCACAAAACTCGTCACTTTTACCGTTCTTCAGTTATGTCCCTTTATAACTATATGATATGCAAGCTGGGTCATCATCTGTGTCCACATGTGGACACTATCCACATTTATTCTACCTTTAATTTACCTATAAAATTTTATAAAAGATACTTAATTCTACTATTAAATCAAGGAAAATATGCAAAAATATTTAATGAGTTTACCAGGAAAATGTATTGAATTTGACAAATATCAAAAAATATATACAAATATTTTTATTATTTTAACCGAATTTTTAAATTGTTGATACATTCTGAAAAAAAAAGTAAAGTAATGAAACTTGAGAATAAAATAAGTGTCATTTCTTTTTATTTATTTACCTTATTTTTTATTTTTCTTTTATTTTAATAACTACTTTGTTCTGAAATTTGATATAAAAAAAAATTCAATTAATTCCAACAAATAGAATATAAATGCAACTGTTCAGTAGCCAAGCTTTACAAATGACATCATTTGAACTTTAATCTGCATCCAAGCTAGGATTTCTTTTTGCAATTAAATACGCCCTTCAGCCACATACGTTATATCGTTCAACTACATCAATTACAACTTGAACCAGAACCAGTGTTTATCGATAACAAGACAGCAACCAGCAATGCAGCATGGATAGTGTTCCCAGGGGTAACAGTAATAGGCTGATTCTTCCACTTTACCAAGTGTATTATACAAAATGCACAGAAATGTGGACTACAGTCATACTATAAAGAAAATGAAGACATCACTCGACTTAAACGATGAGCCGCAGTATAACCTCTCGTTCCACCCCACCTTGTTGGGGATGTGTGGTTTGCCACTTTAGAAGACATTTGTGAAGCTGATAACATAACCGCTACAACATCATTTACTGATTACGTGACGGAGTTTTGGGTTGAAGGATACCACTTTTTATGGGACCACTACTACACTGAAAGGACCCCGCACCACCAACCACCTAGAAAGAGGACACAACAAAATTAAGAAGAGACTACATAATGCCCACCCCAACATACACGAGATCATCAAGTTAGCCAAGAAGACACAGGCACTAACGAAATATACCATCGGGGAAAGCCCAAGACGATACAGAGTTTAAACACCAGGCTCCAACCACTGAAAGACAGATACCAACAAGGAATCATCAACGTGATAGACTACTCTGATGCAGCATCCCATCTTCTTCTTTTGAACTGAATAACTTTGTGAAATATTGTAATTTGTGACTTCGTGAATATAATGTTTTGTTTCTTTTTGAAATATATATAAAATATTGTATTTTTCATCATTAAACATATAGTGCCCCATATTACTTATTTTGACTATAGTGCTTTATTTATTTTCTTATGCAATGCATGTATACATTTTATTCATAAATGATATAAATTATGTTTGCAATAAAAGAAAACTTTATCATGTATTGGTGAATTTATATCATAATCATTTAGTAACTGATGAATTATTAAGACACTTTTATAAATGAAAATTGAATGCCATTGTTTTGTATGTTAAATGAATCGATTGAATTGAATTAAATTATTGAGAAAAAAAATATTTGATTTATTTATTATTCATCTTTACAAATAAAAATGGAACTACAAAATGAAAAATACCTGAATATGTAGAAAACACAGATAAACTATATACCTATAAAGTTGGAACAGACTATACAATTGTACGCTCATTAAACCTTTTGTCTTTTTCGTTTTCTTTACTAATAGATAATTGGTATAATTAAATGTAGGCAAACCAGGAGTAAACCAAAGGATTACAGGATTATTATTCTAATTACCAATAACAGCGTCTAATCAGCAATAGCCTGGCATATTTATGACATGTGTGAAAACAAATTCATATTGTGTTTTCTTACCAATTTCAGAAAATTGACAATTAAGTAAAAATTATATAGTGTTGTTGTCAAATTATACCCGGTATTTATTTGCAGATTTGGCTATGTATAAAATTATAGGAAATATACGGAAGATATAATAGCATAAGATATTTTCCCCAACAATTAACATTACGATATCGTCGTACCAGTCCGCGATTTTGGCGTTTCAATTTTTAGTGCTTGCTTTATTTTCATGTGTTTAATTTTGGCACTTTCATTGGATGCACCAAATAAACTAAAATAAAACTACAACCAAAAAAACTTAATTTAAGGTATATGAATCACAATTATTTTGTCAGGAATAGTAATGTAATACATGTACATAGAAAATAGAAAATATTTAACTTCTGTCTTTGTGATTAATACTGCTATTATTTCATTTTATGTTTGTTTTAGGTGCAGGAATTTTATCAATGGCAAACAGTGGACCAAACACAAATGGTAGTCAGTTTTTCATTACAATAGCCCCCACCCAGTGGTTAGATGGTAAACATACAATATTTGGACGTGTTTCTAGTGGTATGCAGGTTGTACAGAGAATAGGACTTGTAGAAACAAGAGAAAATGATATGCCTGCAGAAGATATAAAGATAGTGAAAGCAAGTGTTATACCAACGTGAATAAAATTTCTAGTAAAATTGTTGATTTAATTTACTACTATTATGTAAAAATATATCAAGGGAGAAATCATAAACGACAAATTGAAGAAAACAGGCAAGGCCATTGCCAGAGGGAAAACAACAACAAAACAACAGTCAACAAATAACTACACAGAAAACTTGGCACTGAGCAACTGACCCCACAAAAAAACCCAGTGTGAACACAGCTGCTCTGAAAAGGTAAGCAGCTCCTGCTTCACTAGTTTCAACCTTTTTTGTTGCTTATACCAAACAAAAACCTGGTGATAAGTCACTTTTTGTGATGTCATTAAACAAGTAAGGGGGACAGGATTGAGGCCATGCTTTATGAAACATGTCTGTGGTCATTTGTAACACAGATGTTCAAAAACTGTTACTCAACCAAAGTAAGATTGTGTTTCTTAAACTTTCAAAGAAAGCTTTGCCATTATTAACCTTTTATTCAATTTTTTGTTAGCAGCAACCCTCTTATAAGAAAGAGCCTTGAAATACCATATCAAATGGATGAAATATTCTTCATATACAAGTGTAATTTGACTAGAAGGTTGGATTTAATATTTAATAAATTATTAGTCTTATTTGGTATACTGTCTATATACTTAATACTGTATAGCGGGTTATTTTTTGCTGGGTGTAAATTTTCGCTTATTTTCGCAGATAGAACAAAATCGCCAAAATAAATTCCGCCAAAATAATAACCGCAAAAATATTGTGTATACCTTATTCAATGCAAATCACAAAATTTTACACCCGCGAAAATAACCCGCTGTACGGTACTACATTGCTTAAAGTAGATTACAGCTTTGTGGTTTAGCAAATTAGCAAATAGTTATTGGTTATCTTGACAGGAGATACAATAGAATCTCTTCACGATTCCCATTCAAAACAATTGTTTTTTGCTATCATGTGCAGCTGATTTTTTTCTTTCAAATACAATGGATTTTGAATTGTGAACAACAGATTTTGATTTTGTTACTTGTTGCATCTGCCGTACTGATAGCCGGTAATAGGGTGTTATAAATTTTGTTACCTCTTTGTTGATGATGCATGTAAATTTATAAGAATAAAGAGATGTGGTATGATTGCCAATGAGACAACTATTCACCAAAGTTCAAATGATGTGGATGTGAGCAATTATATGCAACTGTACAGCCTTCAATAATGAGAAAAACCAATACCGAATAGTCTGCTATAAAAGGCCCTGACATGAAAAATATGGAACAATTCAATCAAGAAAACTAATGGCTTATTTTATAACAAAGCAATTTACGAAATACAAATATGACAGACTTGAATCAACAACAACCAATGAACTACAGGCTCCTGACTTGGGACATAAAGAATGTGGCTGGGTTAAACATGTTTGTGAGCTCTCAACCCTCCCCTAACCTGGGACAGTGGTGTTTCAGCACAACATAAGAACAAACTTTAAAAATCAGTTGAAAAGGCTTAACTCATCCGATCGATACTAAGCAGAAAAAACATCTAACAAACACACAGGCCGGACGTGGCAGGGTATTTATACTTCATTAAAAACAACAACAAAAAACAAGGTACAGATCTGAGAGTACTGACAGCTAGTTCAAAGCCAATAACAACTAATAAAAAAAATCCTGTATCTAAGACTAAAATATCAATCAGTACACATCCAACATCCAATGGATTTAGTGTAAAGAGTTCATCAACAGTCTGAGAAAACATGACCTTGTGCAATGCCAAAATATAGGTATCGACAGATTGTAGTACTGTGAAAATGCATAAGTGTATAACAATAATATTTAGTATGGTTTTAAATTACTGATAACAAAATCAATATTTATACCAATACAATCAATATTCAAAGATCTAATTACAGTGTTGAATTGGTAACCTTTTACAATAAGTTTACTTAAAGGATTGATGAGTTTACCTGGATCGTATCTAAATTTCCGGGCTCAGTTTTTAATAATTTAGGATGTGATATTCCGTTTGAAATAAGTTTTCTACAGGTACAGCCAATCTTGCACACCAAATCTTTGTATCTATGGAAGAATTTAGTATAAAGGTTTTAAGTAATTTGTGGTAAAGAAATCCTTGACTTAATATACTTTATTTAAGTATACAGGTAAATTTTTTCAGAGACAAGTGCCTGTGCTGATACTCCCCTTTTATGTTCATTTATTTGTAGACATATATTTGTTTTAATTTTACCACAATAAATTGATGATAATTTTCTTTTGGAGTCCATCAACAATATATGAATTGAAATTGGATGCTAAATGATTTTCCCTTTTGAAATGATTTATTTGATATAAGAGAGCTCGCTCTTCCTTTCCCCAAGAATGATCATGAAAGCTTGTAAAATTATGACTACAAATTTCACGGTTTATATTGCACGGGAACAAAGTTTCTCTAACCTCTCTAAATCTTGACCAGCCGACCTATATGACAATATTCTTATAATGAGTTACGACAGCTAATATTTAAAGATGGTTTCATGTTCGATGGGAAAACCACCATGGTGGAGTAAGTGATGGAATTGATGGGTTTGACCAAATTAATGTCTTTTAAATTGGTGTTTAAATTGAATCTTCTCCACTAAGAACGAAGAGCTTGGTTTCAGAATTGTGTTCCTTGTACGGCGACGTTTTCCAGCAGACGAATTCGCCGTTTCAGAATCTAATGCATCATGGGTAATATTCTTTGGTGTACGCTGCGACGCCATTTTGAATTTAACGCCACAAAGTTGTAAAGTTGATCGCGTTAGTTTTAAGCATTATGGATGATAGTGAAATAGTTGTAGATGCTGAACAAGAACTTAAATTTGATGCGCCACAGCCGGTACTAGATAACCCAGATCATTTCCCATGGGTGCTCACGGAAGATGATATACCGGGGGCATCACTGCAAGGAAAATTGCCACATTTGTTGAAGGTTCCAGAGTTGCAGTTTTGGTTACGCTGTCGCGGTATATCAGTTGCGGGACTCAATAAGTCACAACTGGTTTCAACAGTGCAAAATATACTGCCAGTCCAAACGAAGTCAACCCCCTTGTATGAACCAGACTACCCGTACTACACTGACAAAAAAATTCAGCAGTTGTCGACAACATCTAAACTAACTGACGAAATATTAGAGAAATTTCCAACTTTAAAACCTCCTCTCTTTCCTGTTTACAACTGGACTCAATTAGAAAATGTAACGGACGAAATGAATATATTTCTCAGTCTTTTTACATCCTCTGAACTTTATAAATATTTTGAAATAATGGCAAAAAATAGAGGAACAGACCTGAGTTTCAGAACTTTAAGTCGTGGTGCCAAAATATTTTATGCAGGATTTGTTAAAGACACTGTAATTTCTCTTCAAAATGTTGCACCTACAACAAGCTTAGTCAGCCACGGACTTTACATTAAAGCCTTTGTATATGCTTCCATGAGAAAAGAAACACATGAGGTCCGCATTCAGATAAAAAAATATGACCCGCAAAATCAAAACAAAGTCAAAATTACATTTGCTGTTTGCTTGTGCAAAGCCGGGTAAGTGTAATACTAAATCTATGAATACAAAAATCACAGATTATAAATGAAATATATGTGCCTATATATCCTACCTTGATACAGACCTCCTTTTCTGCTTCACTCTACATTCACACATGTTTTGACTTTTGTCATAATGAAATTCCTATTTTGTCCTGTGTCACTTTATTATATTTTACTCCGGCTGTGATGTCACTCAGATGTATATGTTAATTTTTGCGAAGTCAATGCGTATGCGAAACACTTTTTATAGTTGCATTTAAGGCACTATTTGTCTCATTAAATTGAAAGAAAACACACGAATGTAATAAAACAACACATTCCACTGTCACATGTGTACTGCATTGTACATCTATACACAAAGACTACACAAACACATTTAGAATTTACCGCCCAATCAACTTCCAAATAAGTGGGTCAGCCAATGAGAATCTATGTGGATGAGTCTACATATTAGAAGGTGTAAATTTAAGGTTAATAAAAATTATGCCACGCAGAAATATAGAATAAATAACCAACAAAAATACCAAAGTCGTTAAAGTCGTGAAAAAGATGACCACAAATCTAAATTCTTGAAGAAAGACAACTTGTATCACTCACAAAGTGGCAAAATTATAAAAGTTTTTTTATATTTCACTTGTCACGGAATTTTATGAGGAAAACTTCTATCAAAATATTTTCACTCGTGGTAAAAGAAACTGTACCTCGACGGCCGGCTCAGTTCAACATACCTGAGTCAGATTTAAGGAGGGGACAAACTTCTGAGGTTTGCTAGTTTGGGGTCCTCTTTTTCAAAATACTGATCGCAGGGACACGTACACTTTTTTTTTCTAGAAATGCACAACAACTGCTTTATATATAAGACATGCAGACACATTCTATGAGTCAGATATAGGGGAATATAACTATACCCCACCCCAGTGGCGGATCCAGAGGGAGGGAGGGGGAGGGTTGGAACCCCCCTTTTCAAGTTTTTGGACGATTAATACATTTGAATGGGGACACATAGTTGGAACTCCCCCCCCCCCCCCCCCTTTTATCCTGGTTTGGGAACCCCCCTTAAGGTGGCTTGGTCCTCCCCTGCACCCAGTTCAACTTCCGTAAAACTAAATTAATACGCCCTGTAAACTGTTCTCTGATGCATTACTGAATATTGATAACACCCAGGATTTTGAAGGGGGGGGGGGGGGGGGGGGTCCTTAGCAAACCAACGTTTGAATTTAAACTTGTAAAATGTCAATGCATTTATTATACATATAATTAAAACTCCACAAAGCTCCATATGGGGGACGCCCCATCCTCATCCCGAAATCTGCCTCATGTTTCAGAAAGATTCGCTCAGAGTCCCTGATGATGTTTTGGTTTGTTTTCAGATTATCTGGTACATGCGGTCATGTATCCGCTGTCCTGCATCAGCTTATCGAATGGTCTCAAAGGAGTAAACAGATGGACTCCTCCTTACGTTGTGAAAAGAAGATTGATACCAATGACAATACTCCTTGCACTTCAAAACAAAACACATGGAAACCACCAAAAAAGAAATCGGTGTTGCCTAAAACATGTATAGCTGACTACACATTTCATAAAAACTTATCTGTATGGGAAAACCAGCCAACAAAACGCAAGCAAAAACGGGATTACAAAACATTCAATTCAGACCCCTCATTAACTGAAGACAAAATAACAAGTCGTGTTCAGGATGCAATTGATAAGTTACAACTGTCAGACAGAATTTGCCGTGTACAAACAATATTGCAACTAAAATATGTCAAGAATGATTAAATATTTTTTCAAGAACACGATTCTCTTTCAAATTGTATTTTTGTGTATTTTAATTGCATTGAAATATTCTTTATCGATTTCTATTATTCATATACTCGACTGGCGGTTTCATCTGTTACTTTTCACCAAACTGGTTACGTGCTGGTTCATAATTATAGGTAAACAGTATTGCAAAATTGGGTAAAAATAAATTACTATGACATGTATGACGCTGCAGGTAACTATATGTAAAACTGAATATGTTTTCGTGCCAACCAAGAAACGAATATTCATTCTGACCAACCAATGCATGTATATAATGTAGGGAGGGTGCTGATCTTTTTTTATTATTGAAATATCTCTATTCATTTCTAACAATTTTAATGACTACACATGAGACTGAATTTATATATCAAATATTCATAAAGAGAAAAATGTGCATTTCAAATGATGCTATAATGCGGGCCGTTACCCCGTTATCACAGTACAATTTATAACTAAATTTCATTCCAGTTCTAAATTAAATCATCGGGAAAATAGATGGAGATATTATTTAATCAAATGTATAATTATCTGTTCCAATCTTTTCTTTTTCTGTTGCTGATTGCTATGTATGTATTGTTTTGTTTCGTGTCTGTTTCTTTTCCTGTTTTTTTTTTCCTGTTTCATTTGATAAGATAGTGTTTATGTTTTTTTTCTTGTTCTAGCGCTTTTTCTAGATCTCGTATTTTCTCTTTCAGTTTGTTTTGTTCTATTTCATTTTCCGTGGCCGTGGGGTTTGGTTGACAAGCGTCACCAGAAGGCAGTAAAGGTAATTGAGACCGAGATTCATTGTGAAAGAAAGTTGAATTAGCATCTGCTTCTGGTTTATCTAGCTTTACTTTAGATTTTTTTTCTATCTTTTGAGTTTTGCGTTCACATTTTTTTCCAATTTTTTTGCCAATTGACAGGTCGGGGATACCATTACTCAGAACTTTTTCACCAGCGAAAAAATGTTCAGAACAAATTCTTGTTGCCGTATTTACGTTTTCTTCCTCTAAGTTTAAGGCACTTAACCACTTTTTTCGTAAGTTGTTTTTTGGAATTCTGAAAAAGCTCAAGTTTTGTGAATTTCTGGATGTATTTGGGCAAACGGCACATGTCCAACCCATTATTATTGACCGGTTTTTTTGCACCAGTTACGGTAAACGTTATGGCGTCCTTAGAAACAAAATGGCGTCGCAGCGTACACCAAAGAATATTACCCATGATGCATTAGATTCTGAAACGGCGAATTAACGGGTTCATTTTCATAGCACATTAACGGCATATTCTCTTCCTGAATATGCATGTAATATTTGTCACTGGACGTTTAACATCCATTCATCTATTTATTAAATCTAAGATAACCAAAACATTCTTTTATAATTAAAAAAAAAACTTTATTTTGATTCGCAGTGTATAAAACAAAACAAGACTATTGACATTTTGTCCGAATATATAAATAAAACATATATACATATATATAACATCGGCAATAAAACAATAGCACATTTACAAACAACAAATTACAGAAATGTTCTAAAGCTAAAAATTAAGCATTAGAAATAAATTATTGTAATTACAATACGTGCACTAAGTGAAAATTTAAAACACGATGAAGAGGAAATAAAAATAAAATACATACTGATTGATTAATTGATGGTTGCGTAACATCCAGTGGCATATATTTCATGCATATTCAGGATAAGAAAAAAATAACAATAAACACAATAGCCATAGGTAGGTCCTGTAATAGAGCCCGTCCGTAATGAAAGTCGGTGAAATATGGACTGCCAATGGAAAATGAAGGTATATTGGATAGGGACAGAAACTTGGCCGGCTTGCAACACACCACCTAACGACCTAATGACCTAATGACCCCTGAAAAAGTTGTGCAAAGGTTATTTTAAAGTACAGAGAGCGTGGCATTTTCACGAAACAAGGCATCGAATTTAACGTCCCTATTCTGACCGGACTTGACTGCGAACTTGTACATCCCTCACAGCATATGGACGCCCACTTCGGCAAGGGTTTTACTGCCGGTAGGAAGAAGATAAAGTGACCATATTTCTATTCCCCAGTTACCCGGCAGGGTAATATATAATGAACTATAAATCAAAAAATACAAGGTAGAAATATTTTTTTTTTAAATGGACGTACACATGAAGTTAAGATTTTAAATAAAAAGAATTAAAAGACCCACCCGTCTAGTCAAATTAATTTGTTCTGAACAGCCGATTCACCAATAGACAAAATAATCAAATTCTGTATGCTTAGCCAAGTAATTTCACTAAATTCAACAAGGACACTTCCGATTATGCGGGGTTTTTTTTTAAATGACTCCAAAAGGATGAACACTGTATCTTGACACTCAATCGATTTCGTATTTTTATGAGTTGTTAAATGTAATGTTTATAACAGAAATTATTGTATATTTTTTTGGGCATATTACGGACACACTTATTTCGTCTGGTTCAAATTTATTTGAGGTATCTGTCTCCAATTTCACTTATTTCGTCTGGTTCAAATTTATTTGAGGTATCTGTCTCCAATTTCACTTATTTCGTCTGGTTCAAATTTATTTGAGGTATCTGTCTCCAATTTCACTTTTTGGAACCGAATCGATTTATATTGAAATAGATTTTAAGTATTCTGTTATAAAGGCCAAGTATACCGTAAAAGTAGAACATGAAAGGATATGGAGTAAATGTACATGGTACAAAATCGCACATAATACATAGAAAACATAGAAAATTATCAATGAACAGGGCTTTTATTCCTGTTATTCATCGAACCCATATTGCACCGAGTACCCAATTTGCTCTCATTTCGCATAAAGAGTGATAGAAATTTATGTTTTCTTAGAGAATAAATAATTCGTTATCATTATGGACGTGTTAATTCTAACATAGCTAAATATTCTTAAAGATGCACAAAAACGGTCACATTATATATCAATACTAGTAGATAGATTTTCTAGTGAAAAAGGTAACATTTTCGGAAACGTTGCATGCGACAAAATCGACTTTTAAATATGAGAAATTAAAATATGTCACATACATCCATTTCATGCAAAATGCATAACAAGCATGGACTATTGTCAAATTATTTAACAAAATGTGGCGAAATAAAACAAAAAAATCAGTTATTCGATTTTTACGGATGTTTAGTTTAGGTGCAATTTATGTACAGTAACTGATTATTACAGAATCTTGAATCGTTCGGAGGTCGTTTCGAACCCATTTTTGTATGATTCAGCATGGATTCAAAATCAAATGTGTGGAACTATATAGTAAAGAAGGATACATCTACAAAATAAACACAAAAGGGAACTTTTGTCTCGAATAAACGAAGGTGAAAAAGATGTCAAAATAGGTGCAATTTGGGCACCGTCACGTTACGTAATTGGGTGATATTTAAGTTTTTTATATTGTTAAAATAGAAATGTTTACAGCATTTAGATATGTTTTTAATCAAAATTATGTGAACGGATTTTCAAGAAATCGCAATCTAATGTGAACAAATGCGGTTTTTTTCGCCGTTTTTTTACATGTAATATATACATCTGTAGACATAGTTCACCATTTCTAAATTGACTGTATCTTTGGAAGAATACAATCCACAGATATTTTTTTGATATTCAGATGAAGTTCAACGAGTTTTAGATACATACAAAATTATTATCAAAATCTCAAATATCGCCCAATTACGTATACTTTGCCTAAATTTAAGTACAACATATGTCCATTCCTTATTCGTACACTTTTACTTGGATGGAGAGTTGTCTCATTGGCACTCATACCACATCTTCCTATATCTACTTTGTTCAGCAGTAATGCAGGGCATTGTTTTCGCAACGTCTTTAGGTACTAGTATTATGACGTCAAGAACTGAACCATGGAAATGGAGAAGCATACAAAATGATGGACTGTTGCGGAGAAGCCAACTCCAATACAGCAATGCGCCGGACCCCAAATAAAATTCGGATGAAACGAGAAAGACAGAGTTTAGGAGACTTTCTGTCTCCTACAGAAACTGAACCTACCAAAGATCGTAATGTACTGGGTTTTTCTATTGGAAATTTGAAAGCAAAGGTACAAACGGACAAGAATGCAGTCGAAATGGAAAACTTGAAAACAATTTACAAAGAATACGAATCAAGGTCAAGAAAATTTGGTGGATTCGAAAACACATCTGGATACGCTGTAGAACAAGGAAAAAATACGTGCAATTCTGCAAATGGCAATGAATGTGGTAAAGAACTTTCTGAATTTTTGTATAATCTGTGGACACAACAACAGCTCTGTGATATCGTTATTCGTGTAAACGGGAAAGAATTTTTAGCTCATAAGCTGGCATTAGCTGCCCACAGTGAAAAGTTCACATCTCGATATTGTGAAAGACAAAGATTACCATCAACTTTGTCAGAAGTCAACCTCTTGAATGCTACAATTGAAGCTACTGAAGAAATACTTAATTTTATTTACACAAATCATTTAAACATTACAGATGCAAATGTAGACACGCTTCTCAGTTGTGCCAAGCAACTTGGGGTATCAGGAGCAATATTCTTGTGTAGGCAACATCTGTTGAACTTCGATTCCAAAAATGTATTGTTTTCGATGCAGATTGCAGAAAAACATGGCTTTAGTGATGTTTTACAGAAAATGGAAGCTTCGGTGTTCGATAACTTTTCTGACATTAGCAGAAAAGAGAGTTTTTTGCACAGCAACTACGAAATGGTAATAAAAATATTACAAAGAGACGCTTTAAGGGTTAAGGTTGGAAACGAGCTCGAAATATTCTTCGCCATTGTTGCTTGGATTGATTTCAATAGACAAGAGCGTCTTAGTTATGCTTCTCAAATTCTTCAATGCGTTCGATTTTCTATTATCTCTGCTGAGGACCTTGTTAAACACGTCGAACCACAGACAGAAATATTCAAATTTCCAGAATGCAAAGAGATGTTATACATTGCATTTAAGTAAGTATGCAGTGCAATGCTTTATTGTTTCCTTTTTGTGTGTTTCAAGCGTTGTTATCTTCATTTTGTAACGAAACAGAAGTTCCTCCACAATATAAGTTCTTTGTGATACATTTCCAAATGGAATTTGTTTTATGTATAAAATACAAGTTTCATCGGAATAACAAAAATACCGACACATGTATCGCATAAAATTAATCAGGAACTTTTATTACATAATGTTTTTTTACGTGTGTTTAGTGTAAATTTTGAGAGTTTTCCTATGCTACTCGCAAAAGATAGACATCCTTACGGATAAATGTTGTACCATGTAACAGTCTGTTAAAGACCAAACAGCCTATTGAGTTCTACCAATGATTTTTTCTTAAAATTTTGTGTCGAAGTCTTTCATGATATTGGGAACAAAATATGATACAAAAAATTGGAGGTCATCGACTTTGTTTTGTCACTATAGCCACATCAATTTCATGTTTTTCGCCAAATTAACGATTTTTTTGCCTATTATTTCAAGTTACGATTATTCAGTTAATATCGAAGCCAGAACCAAAATTTTTTTTCTCACACAAAACAGAAGATCTGTATCTATCTTATAAAGACTCAACACCAAGTGATCTAATTTGTTTTAATTTCTAAATTAGGGTTTATATCATTGCCGCCCAAACTTATATGCCAAAGAGAAATATTTTCCCATTGTTAAAAAAATATCTATCATTGATTTCTTTAAAACAAAAAATACAAGAGTGAAAGTGCATTTTGTACTCATTAAAATAAAACAAAAAAAAAGTATACGTCACCGACCTTTTAAAAAAGTTAAGAGATATAGTACGTTTATTTTTTCATTTGTTTTCAAGAAAAGAGTTATCTATTATCAGAACAATGACTCTGAAGTCATAGTACAAATTTGCCGCAATTTTGACAAGGAATTTCATAGATATCGAAAATACTATAAAGGAAGTTTGACGCACAAAAAAAAAATGTTTTCAATAATAAACAAAATTTCCATGGGCTTTATTATTTGTGGAAACCCGGAGATCGTATTTGTATATATCAGTATTTTACAGATCTAATAAATGCCGCTCAAAATCATCTTTCTGAAACACCGTTGGAACGTATAGTTAATCGTAATTATGTGCTACTCCTTTACAAAAATGTATATGACTCTTATAATAAAATTCAATACCATGCAGATGTTAACAAAACCAGAAAAATATTACCGACTATGTAAGGAATGACGAGAGAACGAAAAGGACTCGTAGTCCACAAATATCAGTGTTATGAGACGGGACATATAAATCTTGCTTTTGTAGCAAAGAGTTAAATGTACTGAGTTTTGTTAAATATTAATCGCTTATTTCACAGTACTCACCTGCTACGAAAATGTTAAATTTTAATAATTTTCTGCTTGTGACGAATATGTTTCTGTATGCATACCATATTTGACCTAAAATCTATGTTATGTTTGAAAAAGTTCCCAGTTTTGCTGTCGGTCATCCCCTGCTTTTGATAACATGTATGTTCGTCCTAAATGTATTTAATGAATGGCTATTATTTATTTTGAATTTATTGAACCATAAAATTAATGTTTGACTCTTCACATTTTACAAGCGGATTATGTAAAATGTGAAGAGTCAAAAATTAATTTTATGGTTCAATAAATTCGAAATAAATAGTAGCCATTTATTATAAATAAATTTCTATCAAAAATACGGCTCAAAGAGCTTTTTATTTTATATTATTTATATTAGCAATAACAACGTACACACGTGTTGGCGTATGAATACACAACGTCAGGGTGGGCGTGTCGCCATAAAAATTGACAACATTGAAAATAAAGGTAATACTTTTTAACCAATCAGAAGACAGTAAATACACCAAATTTATTTATTTATATGTGAAGGTCAAACATCAAATTGGTCTGTTGCTGAATATCATATTTGTTTTTCGTTTATTGTTTTGTACATAATTCAGGCTGTTAATTTTCTCGTAACGTTTGAATTGTTTTACATGTCATTTCGGGGTCTGTTATAGCTTGCAATGAGTTATGGGATTTTCTCATTGTTGAAGGCTATCCGATTACTTATAGTTCCTAACTTGTACGTCATTTGGACTTTGGTGAATAGTTGTTGCATTGGCGATCGCTTACTTATGGGTTTTTTTAACGACCTTGACTGGCTATAAAGCCTTCGCACGGTCGGCGATCGTACCACATCTTCTTATCTTTATAATGCTAATTTCACTCATGCATTTTCATCGATATTCCGATATCCCACCGAGAACATTATCCGGTTTTCGGGTAAATATTCTGTTTTAATCAAAACCCAATTCATATAATAAAAAAACTTCTAAAATAATTGATTAATGCTCAATCAATACCGTTTGCAAAGTAACTGATAAGTTTCAGGGGTGAAATAAATTAATTACATAGACAGTAATGGTATTGATAGACTTACCAGTATAAAACAATAACCATTGTATGTCTGTTTAAACTCAAATTTTACTCACACCTCGCCATACAATTTTCAAAGAATATTTTATGATTTATATAATAAATATTATAGAATGTGCTTAATTTTATTATTTTTTTGGAATGCATTTTCCGGCGATGTTTTATTACAAGTAAAGTGTCGATTCCCTTTAGACCTTTTATAAAAATTACAAAATGAAGAACAAATTGTCCTAAGTTCTCCATATTTTTATACAAACACTTTCAAATAACATACCTGTGATCAGCTGTCGTGTTCGTTGTTATCGTTATATAATTTAATTTTGGATGTAACGCGTCTTCTGATTAGCTGACGTTGTTTTGTTTATCAGCTCATAGACATAATTTTGTCATGACAAGCAGTAATTGGTCAAGATCTAAACCACTGTTAGCAATTCTTTTCAGTAAAACTGACGACACAATTTTGTTTTGAAGAAGTTATGCATTATCTTCACTATTTGAAACACTGACGTCATTAACGTTTTTTCATGGTTTACTCCGGTTTAAAAATGGAATTTAGAATTAAATTATAAGAAATGACTGTAAATTTTTTTCTGTCTATTCGAAATAACATAAAAAATGTGGTGCACACTTTAAAATAACCCGCTACGCGGGTTATTCAGTGTGCACCACATTTTTGATGTTATTTCTTCATAGACAGAAAAAGAATTACAGTCATTCCTCAAGTTAAATAAAGGGTGCACATAATAAATGTCCTGGATGTTTCAGTGAGATTATTTTCAATAAAAAGCCGAATTGAGTAATTCGTTCATTGTGGTTTTTGTTTCTGCAAAGTGCATGCATATTAATTCTATACATAATACATAGCAATAATAGTTTATTTTGTTAATCAAAATGAAAGCAGTTCTTCAAAAGAGGTTTAGTCTTTATCGATTTTTTTGCAATGAAATCTCCAATTTTCTTCGCTGTAGACTTGTGTGCTGTGACTCTGACTTGTCCGTCATGTCTTTTCTCAGACAATACACTTTTCATGGTATCGATTGTATGCAAGCAGTAATTGGTCAAGATCTAAACCACTGTTAGCAATTCTTTTCAGTAAAACTGACGACACAATTTTGTTTTGAAGAAGTTATGCATTATCTTCACTTTTTGAAACACTGAAAAATTAAAAAAAATCCATTTTGAAATGCAACTAGGTATAGACGCAATCGTGAGTTTTGTGCTTTTTAAAAAAAAAATTACAACTCGATATACAACCAATACCTTCCTCATCTTTTACTAGCATAGAATGTGTTACATGTTAAACCAGAAATCAGAATATTTTAGTTTGAAAGTATATATAGAAGTAAATTAACCATACTGTTTCAGATACAACTCGTGTAAACCTTAATTCTTTCCCGCAAAATTCACAACCGTCCATCAGACTTTCAACGGTTGCAATTCTGCCGGTTCAAAAACTCGTCTCTCTCCAGGACTCCACACTTCAGGAATGTTTTTAGCTGGCCGTAAACTGTTACATGATGTTTTAGTCATATTCATTTGGTTTATGTGATCGAAGTTCTGAACATCGGATGACCGCAAGTTCTGGTGGATGGTCACAAGCACTTGTCTCAGAAAAAAAATCACATCTCTATACCTGAAAGTTAGGTTAAGGTACATAGATATATATTTTTTTTGGAGACAAGTTCCTGTGTGGATGATGAATAAATGACAGGGAATTCAACATCACCGTAATAACTATTATATTGTAGTGATATAATCATTTGTTATCAGTATACTCTGGTTTGTTGTTATATATTATATTAATATTTGTATAACAGTTCATATATATAATTTTCATCCATTTGTATCATCATTCTATTCTACTATTCTAATGATAGTGCAGTGCAAGTGCATGGTGGACACTTTTCTGTAATAATTCGTTTTTCTAATAGATTGGATTTGAGTTGGCATTCATATTTTCCCGCGTTTGTTGCAAAACGTTCTTGAGATATTCTTCCGCATGCGTTAACACAAATTTTCGGTATTCTTGATTTGTTATTCATATATATTTCTCACGACAAAACATTTTCATATCATTTATCTATGTTCTTCAAAAATATTTTCATGAATATTTATAAATGAAATTAATATATAACAAGCGATAAGGAATATTATTTTGCACTCGATAATATCCGCGTAATTATACGAAATACGTTCGGTTATTAGTCAAAAACGCAAGTCACGTGGGTAGAAATGTCTGTGACAACATAACACCGTAATACCCTCACGGTCATCCGCTGTAAAAATGAAACAAAAATGAAAAATTGCATACCTTTATGATATTCAAAATTTGTCTAAAGGAAAAGAATGATAGATACTGAATAGTCATTATGTATGGTTGATGAAGAATGCTATTTATTGACACCAGTTTGCTAGTTTTCCTTTTTGAACCTTTGGAAATTTACTATGGGATTTTTCATTTGGTATTACAGGGTTGCGCTAAATATCGAATGAAATGACAAGTACTTGATGCTGTTTTGGTTGAACGTTTTGTATATAGAGGCACATTTGGGCACATATCGTTCCCAATTATTTCATTGTCTTCCACTGTCTTATTCCATATTGATTTTAATGTATGGTTATGGCGTTCACAACGCCCATTGGACTGTGTAATTAGTATGTGTTCATGTATTTTGTTTCTGACTGACAAATGTTCACCTTTTCAAAAGAAATCAAATAGTAACATTTAAAAAAATAAAAAAGATAACTACATTATTTTTAAGATTTTTAGTTTATAATTCAACGAGCCAAAGTTGTATGAAAGTTTTACCAAAATCTGTGACATAGCCGATTTACTGTACCTTGACCTTAACGGTATTTGTTAAACTATCAACGTAAAAAGACACAAATGCAGCATTATAATTATCGATGACACTTTCATCACATATGTAACCATTATACGTATTGGGATTGTCTCATTCACACTAACCATTTTTTTCATTAAACTTCGCATCTACCTGTATTGTAATTTCAGCAAGGTCTGCAAAATAGGGAACATGATCATTAACCAGTGTCGGATTCAAGGGGGTGGGGTGAGGCATAGAGAGAGTAAGTCATTGAACGAAAAATAGCATTTGTTTTGTTTAAATTTATATTTTTACCATTTTGGGACAAGTATGCCCCTCCTTTCCTCGAACCCTGGATCCGACCCTGCAAACACGAAAAAAAACTAGTTATAAAACACATACGAATCAAACACAATATAGCTAACAATAACGCTATTTCCATTGTAATGTTTGTCTATACAATATACAAATTTCGATAATCATTAACTTTATATACAATTTGAGTGGTATTATTGTTGGCAAATGTTGTATTTTAGGACACAGGCACTCGAAAAAAGATCACCAATGCACGCAAACCAAGAGAACAGAAGACACACTAATCAAGTTCCATGTAGCATAACCGGTTACAATTACACAGAACAAAATCAGAGTTACTCCTGTAGATCTGTACCAGCATCTCGTGTAAGTTCTTTCAAAGAAAAATCAACTACCCTGACCATCTTTTATACCAATCTACATTCGCTTACATATATCAGAAATTTGATTTAGGCCTTCTATTACTTATAGCTATACTAAAGTAACCCTAACACTTAAACTGAACCCTGACTTAATCCTCGACATAAACCGAACCCTGACTTAATCCTCGACATAAACTAAACCATGACTTAATCCTCGACATAAACTGAACCCTGACTTAATCCTCGACATAAACTAAACCATGACCGTAAAGTACAGGGACCCTAAAGTAAAAGAAGGTCGGAACCTTTTTTTTGTAGACACGCATATGAATATTACCAGATAACAGAAAGAAAGTACATGATAACTCAAAGTACTGACATCCTCGGATAAACTTCAAGATCTGATCGTTGCCCAATATATATAGTACTGACATACTCGGATAAACTTCAAGATCTGATGGTTGACCAATAGTACTGACATACTCGGATAAACTTCAAGATCTGATGGTTGACCAATAGTACTGACATACTCGGATAAACTTCAAGATCTGATGGTTGACCAATAGTACTGACATACTCGGATAAACTTCAAGATCTGATGGTTGGCCAATATATGAATTATTTCCATTGCACATTTGCCCAATAGAAGCAACTTACAATATAATTCAGTATTGTTTGCTTAATCATAATATTCTTTTCGAACCCAGGACGATAGCAAATTAAACTATCTTTTTTTTAAACAAGGTTCTACCAGCAACGTGGGTTGTCAGAAACGAATAGTGGTAAATAAGACTATCCAAATAATAAAATGGTGGGATAAAAATATTTTCTTGTAACAGATCACCTAATGACTTCGAGAAGTTGTTGCGATGATTCTTTTATATGCTTTAATAGCGTTTGACGTGCTGGCCCACAAAACATGAGATTTGGTTCAATTCATATGGCATAACCGGACATGAATATGTTTTAAAAATATGCAGTGGTTCTCATGTTAAATTTGCTGACCATTATTTGTTTCTTTAAAATCCATAGCATTTGTCTTTCTTAATTCCAAATCTTTTTCAGGATTATTTGCCTTTTCTATATCCTATAATTCATTCATTAAAATTCATTCATTTTATACAACATTCAAAAATTGATATATTTTCAGTTAGAGTTAATGCAAAATTTAACAAAATCTTGTGACATAGCCCACTTACTAGAACTGTTCCTTGGCCTTAATTTACATGAGTTCCAGCACAAACATTACTGCAGTCTTAAAAATGGGATCCCAAGTAATTAAGTTATGAGATAAAAAAAATGCTAATTGGTTTATGGACACTCGTGTTATATCATTATCTATCTTCAAATGTTCCTAAGCATTTGTGTCTGAATACTATCATTACCAATAGTTGCTGCCATAAGAGGCAAAGTCCCAAACATTACAGTGTTTGTCGAGCCTGCAACATTCGTGTCGAGAAAGCGAGACAAAGCGATCATAGATTCCGTCGTCGGCGGCGGCGTCAACATTCAGATTCAGTCTGAGATTAACGCTTTTCAGTCATCAATAACTTTGTCAAACCTTCGTGTAATTTTATAAAATTTGGACAGAAGCTTGTCAATAATCAAAATACAGTATCAAGATCAAAATTTTGAAAATATTTCTTTTCATTTTCCCCTATTTTACTGATAGATAGACCGTACTTTGACCTATAATGGTTTACTTTTATAGATTTTGACTTGGATGGAGAGTTGTCTCATTGGCACTCATTCCACATCTTCTTATATCTAATTAGTTTTTAATACAGTTAACAAGTAGATACAGTCTGGGGTTAAAGTTTGTTACACATCAATTATTTTGTCAAACCTTCATAGAATTTTATGAAATTTTGGAAAAGTTTTTTTGATTAAGAGATAATGTCTGAAGCAAAACTTTGAAAATATATTTTCATTTTCAGTATTTTTCTGATAGATAGACAAATTATTTTACAGTTAACATTTACAGACAGTCTGGGATTACTTTTTTTAGACATGATAAATGTGTAAACCTTCATGGATTGTTATGAAACTTGGACATAAGCTAATCATCAAGACCAAGAAATAGCATCTAAAGAAAAATTTATTCTGTAATTTACTGATAAATGGACTAACATTACACTTTAACACTGACAGCAGCAATCGTAGACGAGAAACAAGGTTCCGCGGAACCCCTTACGATTTTTTGGGGTATGTAAATCACATTGTTAAGGGGAGTCGATTCGATACAGTTTCCCATTCTATTGTCATTTTCATGAATTTGAGAAATGTTGTTTGGACCATAAAAATGGATCTTATTTTTCATGAAATTTCAAAACCTATGAAGCCGCTGACATTAAAAACAGAATTTTGTTAAATTAAATGAAGATGTTCAGTGACATTGGTCATACAATGAAACTAACTAAGGCAAAGTTATTCATTTACATTATGATATATTTTTGCACAGAGACATTCAACTGGTAGCGGCACAGGATTTTCCCAGACAGGTCGAGATTGTACACAAAATGGAACTAGAGTGACACCGTCAAAGGATAAACCTACTTCTCCATATGTTTCTCGTCGAGCTTCGATCACTGACAACACAGAGCTAGTAAATAAGATTCAACAGATGCCAATGCACGTGAACCAAACGCCAATGCACGTGAACCAAACGCCACAGACTAAGCGCAAACTTTATCTAGGAGGATCTATGCATCAACAACCAGCACAGTCAACAGCATTATATGGCCCACAATCAGCTCCTATAAAACCTTCAACCATTATGGTAGTAGGTGGAATCAATCCTTACAGTCCAGACAGCACCTATTCCAGTAAGCTAGTTGAGCAGTACAATCCCCAAAACAATACTTGGAAGGTAGTATCTACACTCCCTGAACCAAGGCACCATCTTGGCACTGCTATACTAGACGGCTATATCTATGTTGTTGGTAAGATGAAAAAAGTACTTTTCAAAGAGCATTTACATTATTCATTCTACAATAGTTTATCTAAATTAAATGTAATACAAAATTATGATCTTTTAGACGAAAAGATTTCCATGTATTATTAACTCGTCATAGATACCAAGGTTTTAAAAATTTTGTACGCCAGACGCGCGTTTCGTCTACAAATGACTCATCAGTGACGCTCGAATCAAAAAGTTAAAAAGGCAAAATAAAGTACGAAGTTGGGGCGCATTGAGGACCCAAAATTCCGAAAGGTTTTACCAAATACAGCCCTGTGATATAAAATCCTTAGTATTTCGGAAAACTCAAAGTTTTATTAACAGTTAATTTATGATTATAAGATTGAAGACTAATTACTAATGATATACTAAATACCGTTACACAAAACCGAGGTTGACAAAGGTATTTCAAAGGGTAAGGATCTACTCTATTTCCCGTCTCATCTAGGTTTTGTTTATTTAATTTATCATACTGAATGTTTACCGCAACAAAAGACATTATTTGATTTATTCAATATTCATGGAGAAAAAAACAATGTACTTTTAATGACAATTATCTATTAAAACCAAAGGAACGTCAAACATTTTACCATAACGTTATATTTGTAAAAGCACGCGACGTTTAGAACGGTGAATACCATATTTCTTCTGTGGAATAAAAAGAAATAACTGTTCTTCTTCCAGACAATAAAACAACATGGTGTCAGGGTCCTTATTTATATCTTGCAACATGTCAAAATTATTACCAATTTCTGCTCTAATGAAATACTTTAAAATGTGGAGTAACTTTGTACAGACATTCAAACGATTCAAATAAATTCGTCGAGTTGTTCAGAATTTTTGTATCTGTACCTCAATGTTTCTTTTTTCCATTTTAAATGTTTATAAATTTTGAGGCATATCTATTGAGATAAAAAAAATCAGAAATGCTATCTTTTTTCGGTGGTGTTTAGCTGGTTCCATTATACTACCCGATGAACAAGAGAACCTTGCTAATCCTACAGACACGTGCTTCCGGTTTTGCCCTGAGGGAAATTACTGGACACGTACATCTTCTTTGAGAACAGCAAGAATGTACCATGGACTGGCAGTACTAGAGGGTGTTCTTTATGCAGTGGGAGGACACAATATGGACGGAAGGTAAAAAGCGTCCAGAGAAATTCCAGTAATTTTATTCACGCTCGAAATGGTATCTAGTAATAAGTTAAGAATTTTAATTTGATATAATTCAAAACAAAACCAATCATATGTGATACTATGCTTTTTAGGCATATTTATAAACCCTGTGAATGATGTATATTCTAGAAGGTAACTACGACTACATATGCATTTATTCTTAACAGGTCTCTGAATTCAGTTGAATATTACAATCCTGATACCGATACTTGGGGATTTACAGAAAGTATGACAGAAGCAAAGATTGGCATGGCTACAGCTGGCTACCATGGATTACTGTACGTCGTTGGCGGCTTCTATGAGTCAATGAACGATAAAATCGTTCTTGATACTGTCGAGTGTTATAATCCAAGGACAAATAAGTAAGTTGATACACTATATACGTACTGTGTTCGAATATATATAAAAACAGAACTGAAAACAACGTTGTGCTTTTTTCTTGGTTCCAAGCAAGTATAAATATTTTATTTCCCAACATAGTACGCACATTGTTTATATTCTGGAATTAATTATTCACTGTTTATGTCAAAGTTTATAAATCACCTGTTGTCTCTTTGTATACAAATCGACATTGCTTCACTTTTTGGACGGCGACAAAGAGAACACCAAAAGAACTGGCGTGATTAGTATTTTGAATCTTTCGCTCACAGTAGAAACTCGATACTGGGTGACAATGAATCTATTTCTATTTAGAAAAAAAAACGCTAACTGCAGGATACTTACAGATTAATGCATGCATTTTTCCATCAATATAATATTATAATCTTGACAATATTTTTGTTAAAAGTCAGTTGTTATGCGACTGTGATATCGTAGACATGTTGAATTTAACATATTTTACCTAAAATGTTCATTTTACACACCGATTTAGGCAAATTTAGACATATGTAAGGAGTCCAAAAGCAGAGGCTAAAAAATGGCATTTTCATACCATATGTTGACGAAATCGTTATATAAGTACTTATTTTTCAAAAACAACGTGTGTCCATTTTAAAATCTTTTATAATGTCAGACTTTTTAATTCAGCCTACATTAACGCAAAAATGTTTCACAATGATGTTAATGCGTTATCTGTAGACGTAAAGATCATCATAGTTACTATCGTGTATAATTATACCACTAACAAAGTCCAGAAAAAAGACTGAATTACAACCCAACAGATTGTATTCAAGTTGTCAAGATTATTTCTGTCACATTCGATATGATAGTTAACACTTAATTTTTTTTTACAAAATGCATCAGATAATGTTTGAATTCGACTTGAATTGACTTCTATATTAAGTAATTTAGTTTTAAAAAAGACATGACATTAATGATATCTTTTTAGAGATTATTATTATTTAACAGCGATAATATGGATACGTGATTGGAAGGGATCCAAACAACCGAGTTTTCTTTAATGTATAACGAATAGACACTCATGTGCCATAATGTGATTTTATTTGCCTACACAAGAGACATGGTCATTTCTCCTCTTTTCGTTTCATTCGTATAATCAATAATGATCAGCGGGAAAAACGTAATGCCGACGTCTGTTTTGTTTTGTTGTTGGGTTTGTGGCTCATTGGCCATATACCCTACCTGTACTGAAATAATATATTCAAATTAATATAGTTCAGTTATTTTCGACACATGTTATTTTTTCATATATTATTTTTTTTCTTTTTTTCTGTTATTTAAGCAAAGCTTTATCATGTTTAGAATATTTCCGTAACAAATTGACGACATTTTTTACTTCAATGAAAAAATCTATCTGTAGTAAAGAAAAAAGGAAATCGACCCAACGGTTGGACCAACTTAACATGAAAATGTTTCACGACTCCCTTAGCCTATAGTGATAAGGTGTTATGAAAGGGTGCTGATGAAGTTCTCTGTCACAATCAGATCAAATTATTGTAAGGGGGATTTTATGGGGATTCCATTTCAAAAAAAGGTAGTCCAGACTTATTTGGGATACCAAAGGGTCCGACTCTCGAAACACAATTGTCAATCTGCCAATTTTACTTTTTTCGTTGATTAAGGCAATATTAAAACAAGTGCGGTGTCCGTAGAATGCAGTATCCGGTTCCTAAATTACAATTCACACCTTATGAAATCGTCATGTAAGTACATTTTAAGATTAAAAAAAATGAAGCATGGCGTCATGAAAGCAATAGTACTAAAATCTTCTACAATTTGGTCGGAGATTCCTTCTACATCTCTAAATTTCTGTATGTATTTATGCACTACATAATGAAAAAACCTTGACTGTTTTATAGTTGGACAGTAAAAGACCCATTGCCTACTCCATGCTGTCATGCAAATTTAGTAGTTGTCGAAGACAAGCTTTATTTGATCGGAGGATCCAATATGTCAGATACGTCGTCAGCTGTCACGAGTCTTTCCAGTGTGTATTGTTACAACGAGGAGGACGACATGTGGGATAAGATTACAGATATTATGATTCCAAGACATGATTGTGGCACAGCTACAATAGGTAAGTTGACAAAATGACTTTTAAGAAGGCATCATGTAATTGTAACAACTGAGTGCCCTGTCACTGGTTGTAATTAGTTTGTGTATTAGGCTTTAGATAGACAACTGAACTTGGGCCCAAGCATCACTGAAGAGAAATTATTCGTCAAAAGCGCATCAGTTGCAGTAAAATTCTACCCGTTTGATGTTATGAAATAGTTAAATATTTAAACAACTACCAACCAATTAATCTTTTTGTAGAGGGCCATAAAAGGTTTTCTTACGTTTCGGGATCTGAAACGGATAAACATTAATCTGATTTGTCATAATTTCTGTTTTCAAAACATATATCACTAGTTTTATCCAGCACTGTAAGGCAAAGCCTCTAGACTAGTAGCGTTAACTTATGGGTAGATATTGTATATCTAGATGTTGTTCACAAAGTCATTTAATGCCATTGGTTAAATGAGTGCAAATAATATATTAATTGCCTATGTTAAAGCACGCGTATTTTCAGGAGTATTATTTTATACATACCTCCATTTAAAAAAAAGGTATTGGAAGTCCTGTTAATATAGGGGACATCAAAACCATTTTTCTCATTTAAATTTCTTCGACGTGAAGTCTTGCAGTAATTGTTTCTGTAATCATTCAACTCTCTTGTATACAGTGTTTAAGTAATCGAGAAATAGTTGGCAAAATAAGTACCAAGTACTAAAGGAATATTATGGTGATATTTTACATGATTAATAAAACAACAAACGTTGATATAATTATTTCAACAAGTATGTCAATTAGACATTCTACAAGATCGTACGGTATGATCAAATTTTGAAATTTACAATTTTTTATTTTAAAGGCTCGAAAATCTACATTATTGGCGGCGTAAGTTCCCAGGAAGGAAGCGTTTTGGCGGATGTGGAGTGTTTGGATGTAGATAGTCTGACCTTGGTAGAATGCGAGCCGATGGCATATCCGGCTTTAGGAATTTCATGTTGCATTCTCCCTGGAGAAAACAAGAACTAAATATATTTATCATTCATTTATTCCACTTTATAATTTTAGTTGTTACGTTCTTTTTGTTGAATATTTTTTAGATATAAGAAGACTATATCTTAATTTAGACAACCGGAAGCTGCGCTATAGCTATCTAATAATTCGACTATTTTACTTTCTTGGTAAAAATGAACAGTATTCGCTATTTAGTATCGGTACCCTTGGATAGAACGAGAACCAACTTACTTAGTCCTCTTCGTGTATTCTGTTGCACATGAGGCCACCACAGAACTAATTACTTATCATTTATTTATTCAACTTTAAAACTTGAGTTGCTACTTTCTTTTTGTTGTATATTTTGAATATTAAAGAATTACTACATTTTATTTTTAAAACCGGTACGGTGACCTATAGTTGTTAATTTCTACGTCATTTGGTCTTTGATTGTCTCATTGGCAATCATACCACATCCTATTATTTTGATATTGTTTTTTTGACAGCTGCGAGGCAGCTATCGAATTTGACTTTTCTCATATATCTTATATATATATATATATAGTGCGGTACTAAGTACTGCACTTGCGGCTGTTTTCAAAAACTGTACTAAGAATAATCGCATGTTATGTTGAAAGCTACATGATTTGCGCATATTTATTTTTCGCAAGATTTTTATATGAAAATAATCGTTGGTTCGCTGCATTGAAGCGTCTATGAAGTGTCAATGTTCCGTGGATACATGACTTTACCAAGTTCAATGTCTCGCATGAGTTATTGAATTCAAAATAACGTTTCTGACGGTTGGTCTATAATGTTTTAATGTATACTTGTAATCTAAGTTCCTTGCGCAAAACAACTTCGAATTTTCTAATTTATTTCTCCGAAGTTTGGTTTTCTATGCACTTTTAGAGTAAAACTCTGGAAGTCAGGAATGATTTAATATTGAAAACCCTTTATACATTCGTAGTTCGCTTTTATTTTCTCACAGCGAGAACTTTGTTAATTAACTGTTGTCGAATTAGTTTTGACCAGTTCGTTAACATTATGGTCAGATCATATGTTTTCGTACGTCATATGAATTCGTACTATGCATGCGTTTTCAATGGAAATTGTGACGTCACAATGCATTCTTAATAGCACAAAAACCCATGAGACGAGGATAACTCTATGAAGTTTTTGTATTTTTTTTTGTGTTTTTGTTCTTCGGAGTCCTGAGGGTTATACATTGGTTTTAACACGGTTAATTTTACTCAAATAGAGGATTGGGTGTGTAGTAATGGAGTCCTGGGGATTATAAGTATATGTAAGAGAATGATAATCCCTTTCTTCATGAATAAGTACGAGCGTTAGCGAGTACCTATCATGAAGTCAGGGATTATCATTCTCTTACAAACTTAGAATGTAAAGTGCTCAAGGCTCAAATGATCAATCAATTAGTTTCATTGTCAGTGCAATGTTTATAATTAATGCATGACTTCCTTTTTCGGCATGCCATTTATGGATTAGTTTAAGTGATGTGAGGACTTTCTTATCATTTGGGAAATATTTTTAAAAAAAATGCGTTATAGATATTAGGTGACATAACAGTAGAAAGAAAAGGTAGGAATTGTATGTTTCCTGATTGTGAGTATGAATGCAAATCATGTAATATTTTAGTGAGGAATTATCCTTTTTTTATTTACGGTTTAAATCAATTAATACATTTGAGTTACAACTAAATTTTATTTCACAGCCAATAATTTGGTCCGGCTTTTTACATCAAATACTGTTTCATTATGTCAGGGAAATGTTCAAAAATAATGCCCTTAAAAGTTTTTAATATGTTCAAAACTAAATTCCTGTTTTTTTTATCGGAATACATGTATTGGAAATAACTATTCTCCCCAACCGCTGATCAAGTAATCAAAGTTTTGGAAAGCTAAAGATTTAGGTTATTTTTTATCTGAAAGATTTTTTTCCTTTATTTTTTGCATTGCTTTGGTATTGTTTAATTTTATAGTAATTTGAAGTTATTAATATTTTCATAATAACATTCACGGTCCCAATTTTACTGCACCAGTGAACTTCAACTTATTTTGAGATTTTTGTTTGTTTCACAATTCAACTTTTAGTCAGTTTCAATCACTCTGTGATAAATCCTTTCAATCTAATAAATGTGCTTCAGGGCAGTTGTAACTCATTTATAGAAACTCTTTGTTTTGAACTGTAAATAGACCCAAATAATAGGATAATCCCTTACTAAGAACATGATTTACATTCATTCTTCACAATTAAGAGGCATCCAATCCTACAATTTCATTGGTCGAGAGTACTTTGCTATATTCTAAATTTGGTTTAACACGTTTAATTCTACTCCGATAGAGGATTGGGTGTGTAGTAATGGAGTCCTGAGGGTTATAAATTTGGTTTAACACGGTTAATTCTACTCCGATAGAGGATTGGGTGTGTAGTAATGGAGTCCTGAGGGTTATAAATTTGGTTTTACACGGTTAATTCTACTCCGATAGAGGATTGGGTGTGTAGTAATGGAGTCCTGAGGGTTATAAATTTGGTTTAACACGGTTAATTCTACTCCGATAGAGGATTGGGTGTGTAATAATGGAGTCCTGAGGGTTATATACTGGGTTTAACACGCTGGTTAATTCTACTCCGATAGAAGATTGGGTGTGTAATAATGGAGTCCTGATGGTTATACATTGGGTTTAACACGGTAAATTCTATTCCAATAGAGGATTGGGTTTGTAATAATGGGAGTCCTGAGGGTACTAGTTATACATTGGTTTTAACACGGGTTAATTTTACTCCGATAGAGAATTAGGTGCGTTGTAATTGAGTCATGAGGGTGATACATTCGTTTAAACACGGTTAATTCTACTCCGATATAGGACTGGGTGTGTAGTCTGAGGGTTTTAAATTGGTTTTAACACGTTTAATTCTACTCCGATAGAGGATTGGGTGTGTAGTAATGGAGTCCTGAGGGTTATAAATTTGGTTTAACACGGTTAATTCTACTCCGATAGAGGATTGGGTGTGTAGTAATGGAGTCCTGAGGGTTATAAATTTGGTTTTACACGGTTAATTCTACTCCGATAGAGGATTGGGTGTGTAGTAATGGAGTCCTGAGGGTTATAAATTTGGTTTAACACGGTTAATTCTACTCCGATAGAGGATTGGGTGTGTAATAATGGAGTCCTGAGGGTTATATACTGGGTTTAACACGCTGGTTAATTCTACTCCGATAGAAGATTGGGTGTGTAATAATGGAGTCCTGATGGTTATACATTGGGTTTAACACGGTAAATTCTATTCCAATAGAGGATTGGGTTTGTAATAATGGGAGTCCTGAGGGTACTAGTTATACATTGGTTTTAACACGGGTTAATTTTACTCCGATAGAGAATTAGGTGCGTTGTAATTGAGTCATGAGGGTGATACATTCGTTTAAACACGGTTAATTCTACTCCGATATAGGACTGGGTGTGTAGTCTGAGGGTTTTAAATTGGTTTTAACACGTTTAATTCTACTCCGATAGAGGATTGGGTGTGTAGTAATGGAGTCCTGAGGGTTATAAATTTGGTTTAACACGGTTAATTCTACTCCGATAGAGGATTGGGTGTGTAGTAATGGTTACGTCTTTTTTCGTCCACACGTTGCATCGTAATCTCCTTTTAAAACAGTGAGTGCATTTCAATTAAACTTTTAGAAAATTTTAAGTACCTAATGATGTGTATCTTCTACTTTATCTATTATCTAAAGTAGACTTGTTACGTCAATCGAAAAAAATGTTCCACACAAAATGATAACATATAAACACAGATTACCTTGGGTGACAAATAAATTACGAAAAGTTAAAAAAAACAAAAATAAAGCATATTGTAAAAGAAAGACAAATCCCGCAAAAATTCAGAAAACTTAAAGTACAACAAAAATCTACGAACAGGGTACTGGAACTGCATAGAAAAATTATACGTACCTGTAAATCAAGCTGATCAACACATGACATCAAATGCAAAACCAAAAAAACTTATTCATCTATATTAAAAGCTCAAGAACAGATAGTACAAGTATTGCACTTTTGAAAAAGGGCAGCATTTTAACCACTGAACCAGAAGAAAAAGCAACCATTTTAAACTAACTCAATCAGTTTTCACTAATTAATCAAATACAAATATCCCAGACAAAGTTACTAGCCCACATCTCTTGAAATGCCATAAATATCTATTAGCAAAACAGGAATCACAAAGTTATATATGACATAACCCACATAAAACATGTGGACCTGACAATATAAATGGTATAAGGAGCATTTAAAAAGGGGGAAATATAAACCTGTAAATTATAGACCTATATCATTACATGTATATGCTGTAAGATCATGGAACATATCACAAGTAACATAATGTCACATTCAGAAAAGAAAACGACATCTTAAACGATCTTGATATCACAGTTAATTAATTTCATCCAAGAACTAGCATCTACTAATAATTGTAACATATATACAAACTGACCTCATCATTACGGACTTTGCTAAAGCGTTTGATAAAGTTCCACACCAACGACTATTTTACAAACTAAATTACTACGGTATAAGAAAAAATACACTTAACTGGATCCAAGCTTTCTTATCCGATAGAACACACACAGTTGTAATGAATAGTATTTCCTATACATCAGTGCAAGTCACATCCAGAGTTCACAGGGCACTGTACTGGATCCTATATTATTTCTCATTTATATCAATGATTTCTCGGAAATATCTAACACATAGCAAATTAAGACTCTTTGCCGATGACAGTATCATATATAGAGAAATAATATCTCAAGAAGACTGCAATAAATTACAACAAGATCTAGACTTACCAGGAATGTGGGAATCATATTGGCTCATGGCTTTCCACTATGTAAGACAAATGCACCAAACTCACAATATCACTATATAAATAACACATAGCTGAGAGGGCGATAGAGCAGATTGTTACCCCGGGAAAACATTGTCAACTGAGGCGAAGCCAAGGTTGACAATGTCTTTTCAAGGGGTAACAATCTGCTCTATCACCCTCTCAGATATGTGTTATTTAATTTATTATACTGAATAAAGCGCACACTTGATCAAGAGTTTCCGTGAAGGGTAATAGAGTATTTGCCATAGGGTAGAGTCGTATTTAATAAAGCGCACACTTGATCAAGCATCTCCTTGAAGGGTAATAGAGTATTTACCATAGAATAGTATATAAATAACACATAGCTGAGAGGGTGATAGAGCATATTGTTACCCCGAGAAAACATTGTCAACTGAGGCGAAGCCTGGAAGGTTGACAATGTCTTTTCGAGGGGTAACTATCTGCTCTATCACCCTCTCAGATATGTGTTATTTAATTTATTATA